AATGAACATAGGAGTAAAAATCTTCTTTCCAAATTTCTTCGCACATTTTTGTTCAGAAGGTCGTAACTTTGTTGGGGAATGTCGAAGAACTTGACAAATCTCTCATTTTGTAGAGAATTGAACGGGCTATCCAATGATGTAGTTTAAAAAGTTCTGACAAGAATTTTCAGGGTGCAAGGTTTTCAGGAAAACCCGATTTTCCAGAAATGTTTTTCTATAAATCCTGAAATGGTACAATCGATTGATGCAGAACTCGACACGCTCTTTCATTTCAGACTAAAATCAAGATTTTGCGTTAGGTCCTTTGGTTAGAACAAAGTGTGAAAGATAGGCTATTTCTGCTGGAAAACGGCAAAAAATGCACTTTTCCGCTGGGAGAGTAAAATGCCTGTACCTTTTTTTCTAACAAAGCTGAAGATCTGCGGATTTCACCATTCAACTCAGCTCGCCGATTTCTATAAGCTGAGCTATGTGTCGTCACTGGCGCCTGTGGTCATTGTAATGATGGTAGGTTTCATATGAATAAATCCATACGTTTTCTCGTTGTCATAATAAGATGAGATAGGTTTTTTAATAAGAACGATTGACTACAATATCGAACTTGATTTCGATATTAATGAAAACGTTCACTCATTTTCCCTTAAATGACCATGCCATTTGTCCACTGTGAAATTTAGAACCTGAGAGATGCTAAGATTTGTATTCCACCTTTTTTTTTATAAAATGCTTTTCGTGTTTTTAAATCTTCGAAGTGACAATTGCTTACATTTATCCTAATGTTTTCAAGAACTAATTTTATTTCTAGTTTACGCAATTCTTAGTTAAGTCGAAACGAGAGAAGAAGGGAAAGTTTTCTCTAGATTTCGGAAACAAGTTATAATGATTAAACACGCCTTGTTCCTCTTGTAAAAAGTTTTGACATTTGATTATTATCCTTGAAAAAAGCTCAAAATAAATGTTCAAAGTAGTATTAACTAGCATTCTTCATCACAGGAAAGATCTTAAAACACACTTTGTGAACCTCTATATAACAACATAAGAGATCCACAGAAGAGAGATAAATAGCATAGAAATGCATCGAAGGAGTACGTAATAACCGGTCTAATAATCACTATAATAGTAAATCATTAATTAATAAATACAAAAAGATATACTTTTTAACATTATTGGGACAGATACTTGTCGTATTAAGACGAATAATATTTACATAGACGATGCTAAATAGATTATAACGACTAGAATATAGAAATTATGTTAATAATTAGGTGCTAATAAATCTCTGATTTTTTCATAATCTTGACATCCTTTTAAAAATTCCTCACGACTAACAAATTTGTCTTTATTTGTATCGATTCTCTTAAATATTTGTTCAACATGTTTTTTTGGCGCATCTTCACCTGTTTTCTCTTTACCCAATAAATCATACATAGAATCAACCACTTGTGTCATTTCTTTCATTGATATTCGATTATCAGCGTTAATATCATACATATTAAATGCCCATTCTAGTTTTTCGGTTGGTGAACCGTTTAATGTTACATCAATTGCACACATAAATCTTTGAAAATCAATTGAATTACTTTTTTTATCTGGATTAAATGTACGAAATACATGATCACAAAATTTGTTTGCTTTTCCATCGGGATATCGTAGTTTATAAACTTCAATAAATTTTTTTTTATCAAGAATTCCATTTGGACAATCAGTTAAAAATCCAACCCACCATTCATATATATCTTGACTTTTAAATTTCGTATTTTCTAATAAATAATTTACAACTTTATCATTCAATTCGGGTGATCCATTGATGTCTGTTTTATTATCGTTATCATTTAATGGTTGCTTTTTTTTCGATCCAGTACAACCCATTTGAGATATATTCTGGAAGCTAATGTAAGAGAAAAAAAATAATCAAACATTTTCTTCTATCAAAAGTGACATACGTGACAAGTAAAAAAAAGTCGATTTATAGATGGTATACTTCAAATCGAAATAAAAAAATTACTCTACTGACAATAAATTTTAAGTGCCTCATCTCATGTCACTTTCGATGTCAATTTGTCTCTCGTATAGGTGAGAAGTGAATCATATCAAATTTTATTCTTTTACTACATATTTTAACGATTAATTAACTATATTAAATAGTATTTCTCGATTCGTTAAGTAATTCTTTTTGCATCACTGATTTTTTGCTTTTCTCGCTATTTTATAAGAATTATAGACAATGTTTGTTTAAGTTTAGACTAAATATTTAAAAATATAACAAATATTTTTTGTATAACTATCAGAATTAAAATTATTAAATTTAGTAATTTACTTCTCACAAAAGTTGTACGTCTATACACTGAAAAAAAAAAGAAGTGAATTCTCTAATTTTTGAAGAACTTGTAGAACAATGTGAATTTGAGTTCTCTCTCCATTTGTTCCAAATAGAGAACTCATTTTGAGTTCTTCAAGTTATGAAGAATTCAAATATATTTTACAGTGTACATGGTGATAATAACTAATACTATATAATACATACCTTATTATTTTGCGAGGAAAAAAAAATACGTGAAGAAACGAAGGTGTATCGCCTTTTATCGTTTGATGAGATATCTATGGTATAGTGAGGATTGGGTAACCCATGCGTTACATTTCTCTCTTTCTTTCTCTCTCTCTCTCTCTCTGTTGTGCGCGCTTTAGTTTAACATTCTATATCTATATCCTCTCACCATCAAATACATAACCCCAATAGATGTGTAAAATATTCAAACAAAAGAAACTAAACATCTTATTTCAAATTATTTGTGAGTGATTCATTCTCTTCTATATAATCTGAATCTGTTTTTGTCTAGTATTGTGTTTCATTATTTGAACTGTTAAAATGATGGGTGACTCTATTAAAAGAATATTGTAGTGAAAAAGAGACAATTTTCATTAGGTATACCATGTATACTATTATTTTAAAAAGAACAACTTGAACATTTATTTACAATAATAATAATATTCATTTAAAACAGATTATTCTATTTAGATTTTATCATTGATTAGAATAATTGTATTTATTATCAATAAATAAAACGCTTTCTAAATTCTATAAATTTTAAGTAATTGATAAAAATCGTCATCGTTCTTATTAACTGCAAAATTCAAAGAACAATTTACCATAGTTGGTTTTTTTAATAAACTTATATATTGAGACTTATTTTTAATTAGCAGTTTTTCTCAGACTAAATCAATTTTTCTCTTCTTCTCAATTCAGATGATCTATGGATCTCGGTGATGAGTTGATTTGTTCTGAAATACAATATTTAGTCTCGGGAAGAAGCATATAATGTACTACATTATGACGAAGACAAAAAAAGTACATACAAAAAACGGTCAAAATTGAATATACACACTTATACACACAAACACCGGATATATGTCATTGATCTCATTGTTTATGAGCTCATATTGAAAGGAAAAAATTGAAAAAAATAAACAACATCTGACCAACACGCGTACACATAAACATTTGTCTTTAAACAAAAAAAACTATCATCGGGACACATAATAGACAAGATGGGTGTATCAGAAAAGAAAAGATCGAAATTTCAGTTTAATATATTGTTTAATGATAAAAACAATGATGAATGATACTGAATGAGAATAAGAATAAATATGCACAAAAAAATAGACGATTAGTTATATGGGCTAATAGTAGCCATTCATTCTGTATAGTATGTTCTTTAATTAATTGACTAAATTTGCGACGAATTACTGAAATATGTTGAAGAATTGACGATGTTGATCGACTATGACTTTCATTTGAAATCGATGGTGTTGTACTAGACGGTTCAGAAACAGTTAATATAGGATTTAAAGGTTCCATCGAGGAATCTGTTGTATTATGACCGTATTCATTTGATTCATATTCACTAAAAATAATATAGTACATTTCAATAGTGTCTGACTTTTGTAATTCAATAATCATAGAAGCTGTTAACTTGAATAAAATTTCAAATTTCCATCACAGATAACTGGAATTTACAATCATCTTATGGGTGTAAAAGAAAAATAGTTCAACTCATTTAGCAAGTGAAACTCGAAGAGGCTTATTCTATTTCACTACAAAAAAAAATTCTTCTTTCTTCCACACTCTACTTTCTGCTTTGAGTCAGCCACTCGTTCTCAGCTATCAATACTTGTACAGATTTGAGGAAAAGATCATTCGAGGGTGCAAGAGAGGTAGATGAAACAGCTGAAGTTATTTTTTCGATACATGTTTTAATTACTAAGTAACGAGTTTCAAAAATTGAACGTATTGTCAATACCTTTTCTATGAGATAATTAATTGTTACGTGACCCACATACATTCAGTATCAATAGTGTAGAGTAATTCATTAAGTACTCACGTGCTACTTATCAGTCTATACTTCTGTATAATTTGATGCATTTATAGTCTGAAACATTATTACCGATAGAATGAATCATATGTTTACTACTAGAGCACTCCAGTGTTCTAATCGTATTTAAGGGACTCAAACGATGTCTAAAGTGTTTCTAAGATACGTTTCACTCGATCGGGTTTCCAATATGCTCGTAGGGCAGTTGGCATCTAGTTTAAATGTGCAATTGTCAAATGAAAAAAATGACAAAAGCGAGAGAGAGAGAGAGAGAGAAACATTAAACAGATCTAGAATACCGTATCTATTTGCTAAAGTAACATTCATCTTACATACTTTTCTCTATTTGCAATTAGAGTTGCGTATGATGAACGTTTAAGTCCAACTAGTTTCGTTAACCATCCAAATACAAACTAAATATTCAAAAGGATTATAAATAGTGATATTTTTTTGAATTTTTTTGTCCATCATACCGTTCTGATTTTTAATGATGGTCGTTCATTACAGTAATGTTTATCGGATAGAAATCGAACAATAACGGAAGAAATGATAGCTAATACTGTTATTGCCATATCGTAAAATATTGTACGTCCTGAAATAAAAAAAAGATACGATATTAAGACTTACTATTAATAACTTTCATTACCCATCCATCCCCAATTGGACGCTAATCGTTTAGGAATGTAACGTGCAAATATTGAAAATAATATTATTTGACCAATAACAAGTAATACTCCTAGAATAGGAAAAATATATGCAATAGTTGACTTAGAAAAAAAGTGTGCCAATAAGAAATGTATACCTAAAACAGTGCGTTCACTTGCGCGTGGAGGTAAAAGAAATATGGTTAAAGATAATAATGCTAATAAAAATCCTGGCCAATTGATTAAATGAATAAAATAAGTGGATCGTCGATTTATGTCTAATTCTATAACAATCATATCGTATATTGTTGTGCTACCTGGATACCGTGACTCTTGTTTTGTTAGTTTATGCGATACAAACGTGTATTCAGATGGGGTTAAATTATTATCATCGAAAATATAGTCAGTCGCTTGTGTAATAGAGACTGTGGATGAGTCATATACAAATGAACCTAACTAGAAAAATTATTGAAACAAAGAGAGAAACTTAAAATTTAAGTAACAACAAATTGTTTCTGACTTTAAATAAACATGTTTGTTGATCAAATGGAAAACGTTGTAAATCAAAATCACAGGGTACAGTTAAAAGAGCCAAATAATTGAATTCAAACTGACCAGTTGATTGAATAGAAATAAAATTATTTTCCTCATTATCAGTAATAGAATGTCTAAAATGACAGAAAATCAAATTTTAACAACAGTTACAAAAGGTGTCCCACAAGTTCTGAGAAAAAATATAAAATTATTCTTGTTATTGCTATACGACCATACACACTCCTCATGTTCTCCTGTATTTGTAGACTCATACCCTAGTGAAAATATTCATACTATCAGTACGACTTTACTCATAATTCGTCCATGAGTACTCATATGAGTTCTACTAACAAATTTTGAGTATTTTTACTCAGTGAGTACTTAGAAAATATTCATTCACCAGTTTGTTTTGCAAAAATGAAACTGTATAAAGAACGTAGAATTTAGTAAAGAAATATAGAAAATTTTTCTCGCTGGTCTTTCTGTATATAGTCACAGATGGATTCGCCTGTGAATAGACTTGTAGTCCAACTCTAGGTGCCTGACATCACTCCTCTATATGAAAATACCAGATGAACAATACTCATGAGTATTTTACTAAAAGTTATATGTGTATACGCATATATTGTTGACTCGAGCATGAGTACTCAAGTCGTTCCCACAGTACTCATTACTTACTCATCAGTACTCATGTGAGTACTCAATGCTTACTCAAAATGTATGAGTACGTATGAGTACTCGTCCGGTTTTTCCAGCAGAGTATTTTTTTGAGTACTCACGCATGAGTACATTCATCAGGGATTCACGTTGTATAAAACCCATCTTGTATTGTGGTGAATGATCTCATACTGAAGGAGTTCCAACGAAAGAAAACTAAACATCACTAAAAGTAAATGAACAACACTTATTTTTATATATTGTTTTTCAGATAATTTTCATTATTTATTATGCCTATCTTAAAATCTATTAAATAAAATTTTAAAGCTCAAGTTTTTCAAATAAAAACATTTGAGTGTTAGCTAAAACCTATTCAAATGACAAACTTTTTATAATCATATGAAAATCCATGTCAGATAGGAAAAAAGTATTGTTAAATAAAATATATACGACAATAAAACAAAATACTATTGAAGATAAATAAAAATAGACTAGAAGCATCATCACACAGTTAAAACAAAAAAATTTAAACGTCTAGGAATACAAGACATTGAAAACTCAAAAAAAAAGAAATTAGTATCAGAAATTTAACAATACTTTTCTTGTCATCTGTCTGACGTGAATTTTTATATGATTATAAAAAGTTTGTCATTTGAATAGGTTTTAGCTAATACTCGAATGTTTTTATTTGAAAAACTTGAGCTTTAAAATTTTATTTAATAGATTTTAAGATAGCCATAATAAATAATGAAAATCATCTGAAAAATAATATATCAAAATAAGTGTTGTTCATTTACTTTTAGTGATGTTTAGTTTTCTTTCGTTAGAACTATCTCAGTATGAGATCATCCATCACAATACAAGATGGGTTTTATACAGCGTGAATGAGTCTACAAATACAGGAGAATATGAGGATTGTGTATGGTCGTATAGCAATAACAAAAATTATTTTATATTTTTTCTCAAAATTTTTGGGACACTGTTTATAGCTGAAAAATAGAAGATTAACTTACTGATTAATTAACGATATTTTTGGTGTCCAGACAAGATGAGCTGGTACACGAATATTAGTCACATTAAAATAATTCAATGGGTTCCAAGATAAGGTCAAAGCATTCCACGTCTAAAAAAATGAAATAAATTCACTAAATACACATAGTCATTATGTACGAAAATAATTATTTACTTGATTTATTCTTGTACGAACTTGTAAAAGAGAATCTTCTTCGTTCTAAAATAAAATAATTCTGTATAAGGAAGATGGATTTTGTCAAATCGTCGAAAAAAATAGGCATCAATAATTATGACAATACCACTGATATTAAACGAACAAATGCAAGATCAATGGAAACATTAATTTTTTCTGATTCATATTGTACTGGACGTATTGACGAACGTGACTGTTGGAGTAGTTGATCGTATAAAGCAATTTTACAACTATAATAATTTGTACAAACTAAAATAGTGGGAAGAAAAAATAATAATAAAAATATTTCTATTCATTTTCGATTGAAATAATTCATGTTCTTACGTGGAGGTACAGGTATTAGCTGACATTGTATATATAGTAGGTTAATGGATAAATATAAACAAAAAGAAAATAGATACATCTAAAAATATATCCACAGTCTAAAAACTAACTTCATTATTTGAAATATTCCTAGAACTAAAATAGGTATTTGTTCTAAAATAACTGCTAAATCTGGAAACAAAATTTGGTCATTGTTCCTGAAACGTATTTTTTTCTCATTTTCTATATAGTAGTCTATAGTGGAGGTCCTCACGGCAGGAAGACAAAGAAAAGCTAAATGTCTTTTTTTTTTCTGAAAAAAGCGTATAATTTGAACACGCATACAGAGAAAAAGAGAAAACGTAATAATCATAAGTAATTTGAATAAAAGAAAAATCAAAGAATTCTATATATTTTTTACGTATAACTTCTATCCGATAAAAAGAAGAATACAGATCTACATAAGCTGACAAAATTTTTTTTTCCCTTCAAAAAAAGGATATAATATAGAAATAAATGAAAGGTGTTTTTTTTTTGTAAAAAATTATTTTTTCAGAAGAAACATTTCGTTGACGAAGAACATGTTCAGTATTAATTTAATCGTTCAATAGTAACAGTTTCTAGTCAAATCTTAGGGGAGAGGAATATTGAACAAGAAGAAAGAAATAACTTCTACAAAAATACTGGGTTTTATCATTTTTCAAAACCAAGCAAAAAGATACTTGATGTCATTAATCATGTGCCTACGAATGAGAACAGAGAAAAGTAGTTGGAGTCAACACAAAGATCATGGTAAGTTTTTGAGAGAAAAATAGAGTTTTATAACATACAAAAATCTTAATTCAACTATAAGAGTGGTCAAAACTGTACATTCATCTTCTATTTCAAAACGTTCTTAACAGATATCAAGTTTTCAAATGTCAATTTCAAACTATATTTATTCATAACTATACATTTCTATAAGATTTTATTTGTTTCACAACATTCATTCCTTCAATAACTTGTTCGAATGTAACATGTTTATCATTTAAACCTGTTTCAAGGAATAAATGTGATGAGAAATTGAGATGAGTTAATATTTAGTCCTAAATAGAATAAATAGTGTCTAATTTAAGGATGACAACTGATTTCAGGTTGTTCGATTCAATTAGTTGCGTCTATTTAGTTAGAATAGTGCACTTTCATTGCCAAACCGCTAACGAAAATGTTAGAATGTCGATTGATGTCTTCATATCTGAATAAATAAATATAGTCAACTAAACCTCAGTATTATTGTATCTTCAAAATATTCATGTAAAAATTTTATATGTCTTCAATTCGTTTAGTGTTGTTGACAGATGCGTTCGGACACGTCTAGATGTTTATTTTGGACGCGTTTTTTTTCAAACGTAAATTTTGACATTGGCACTTCGCAATTCTTATTTGTGATAATGTCTTGGGACTATGTTTGTTGCAACGTTATTTGTCACAACGTTAGCGAATATTTTTACCTGAACATTTATCATTGCCAGTAATCCTGGTCGTGTAACTTTTCTGTTCAAACTCTCATCATCAAAGTGTTTACCAACTATACTTTTCCTACTCATACGTAAAATGTTCAATAAAATACGTCTTAATGCTGTACGGTCAGTATAAACATCGAAATATAAACAAGGATATGTTAGAAATGATGAAGATAGGAGCACTAACAAATAAAAGGGACTAGTAAGTATAAATTAAAAATAAGCAGATAAGATCATAAATTTAAAATGAAAAAGAATGCAAAGAGGAACAAAACAGTAAAACAATTATAAAGCATACTAAATGGGCATAGACAAAAGTTGAATACAAAAATATAGTCCATATAACTGATTGTGATGTGAAGTAGTTGTGGTAGAAGAAAAACAAGTTTTCATATTGAAGGCATATCTTTAAGAATAAACAATCGTTTTTCTTTATAATTCTAAATCGGAAAACAATCGTTTTATTTTATAAATAAAATCTTTATAGTTGACTCACAAGTTTGAGACATTAAGAGGTAAAATATTATTTACAATATCAGCATCTTTTCAAAAAAACAACAACAACTTTTTATTTCTGCTTGATTAGCGAATAAAAGGGAAAAAAGCACGTAACAAAAGAAAAAGAATTGTTCATCTTTTCTTCATATTATTTGATTTTACCAATAAGAACGACAGAAAAAGGTATCTGTTTTTCTAAACTGGGTCTATTAATTTTTCAACATGAGCAAATTCATATAAATATTTTAATGATTCATATCAACGTGAAGAGAAAAATAGAGTGTATACAGAATCGCGGAAAATTGCCTTTTCGTATTTAGCATACTCAGACGACTTTTTTGTTTTTGACGAGGGATATTGTCAAAAGCTTAGGAACAAAATGGTGAAACAAAAATTTCCATGAGAAAATAATATTATTTTTAAAAATTTTCTTGATGATACGTCTCACTGTAAATAAAAAATGTTCGAGTTATCAAGTATGCTGAATAGGAAAATGTACTTTTTCGTGACTCTGCATGAATTTTATTTTTCTGTCGATAATATTTATCTTTTTATTCTGTATATTTTAATCTTACCTCGTTAGTTATTTTATTAGTTTAATTATTTCATAACCGGTTGTTAACAATTTAGTATGTCTCCAACGATCAATAAAACTACAACTCTCTTTCTGTATGCATAATCTTGCACAAGTTTGATTCCATAGATCATTTACTCATTTTATGCGAATGTTAACCTAATCTCTTATATCACGGTTTAATATGATTCTGCTTCATTATTGTCTTAAATTCACTGTAATTATCCAACATCTATTTTTCATAATCTAGTCATGTGAATTTTAAAAGCTTTGATCTAAAATAATTCAGACGTTTTCCCAATGCAATTTAACTGTTAACCCGTTTGTGTCCAAAATTTTTCTGAGTCGAAAAACTTTCATTATGGGTCCGAATTTGAACCCCACTTAAAATACTTACCAAAAAAGCCTAAAATAGCTAAAGTAAATAGCTAAAGTTTTTCAAAAATGTTAATAAGGCTAGAGCACGTGCATCAGTTTAGTCTCAGACCTTAATGAAACTATACGTAGGGATATGCGTCAAAATCATTTATATAGCTTACATTGAGTAACTGTAAATCTCTAATCACAAGCAAATAAGACGTTTCGGTTGACGGGTATTCCGACTGGTCGAAAACTAGGAGTTGGGCCAATTTCGACGGTTACGGATTAGTCCACCTGTCGGAAAACGGCACTCCAACTAGTGAATTTTGGCTTCTGACGGGCGTCGAAAATATAAAATCGACTAGTCCATTTACCGTCAAACACTTGCATGAGATGTAATGGCCGTTTAAACTATCATTGGACGTAAAAGAGTTAATATCGCTTATTTCTTCTGCATGTGGTTTTACTTGTCTTTCTACCTATGAAGTAAATCGTCCTAGTGTCAAGTTGCTTTTTCCTCGAAACATACTTCATTATATGTGACCTTTGATGCCGATCAGAATTCTTATATTCAGTCGTTTCCATACGCCCTCTCCCTTTTGGGAGAGCGCTTCTGAGTTTGGATCTTTGAAGATCCATTACACATTTCCGAAACAAGAGATTCTCATCAGACCAGTATATTCAAATTTAATACTAAACAATGATCAATACACATAAATAGCCACAGTTTTTTGATCCTCCTGAGATTTAGAAATCTCTAATTTTCTTTACAGAAAAATCTCTTCACATAAAAACGAAAATTAGTTACAATAAAATAAAAACACAATAAAGAACAAATTTTGAACTATCTGATGTTAGATGAGTTTAAATCTCTTCCAGTATATATCAAAGTCAAAGTTTGTTTTTCATCATTGTAGATTTTTCTTAGTATTCTAAATGCTTTCAACTTCATATACGGTATTTGTGTCAATGAGTTGGGTGCTACTTCTTCCATATATTTTTGTTTCCTTAACGTTCATGTTGCCATTCATTTAATTTAACACATTTAAAACGTCGATTTCCTTACTGTTTTTACTTCTAAAATAAAACAAAACAAAGTACTATTTCGCACACTTTAAAGTGACTCTTACATAACAGTCACGGAGAGAAGCCGACGGAATGTGTTTTTAACTTTAATTTACTACTGTTATCTTCACTGGTAATTATTGCTGCTATTTTTTGACACTCATTGATAAAGGTCTTCCTTACTTGTTAAAGTACTTTGCATCGGCGTATGTAAGACTTTTCGCTAACGTATCTACCGTAATAGCCTCCTAATCCCAGTGTTTTGCGAATGTTTAGTGAGTCTTAGTCGTCAATATTCTTCTTATCGTTTTTACCTGTCAAATTCTAATCATCAGCATGCTCTTTCTACTTAAGTTACAATCGGTTTCCTCATTACCGAAATCTCATCAGACAATGGCATTTTTGGCTACTTCAGCTCTACAATCAGTCTTCTTCTGTATAAAAAAAAACACTGTAAGGTGAGCGATTTATCTTCTTGATCATTCTTGTTGATGTGGGACCAGTTTCATCAAAGATAAGAAACTTACCTTAAGTATGACTTAAGTGTGAATTAAGTCATAAAAATGCCTTAAGTCGAACTTAAGTTCGGCTTAAGTCACATTTAAGTCAAATCTTGACTTAAGTTTTTTGATGAAACTGGCTCCTAATAAATGTTGTATATTAGGTCCGGTATAGGACAGACATCCAGTAAAAACATTATAAATATAAAAAATAATCATACTTAGAGTTTAATTACATTGAAAACAGTTAAAAAAATAACTCTGTCACTGGTATCCGGCTATTTTGCACCTGATAGAGAAAATAATCTGCTGAACGCATCATACCAACCAATAGCAGCATGACGTAGGTAAGATTGTGCCAGGTGATCTTAGACGAAAAATGACGGATTAAACAATGAGAAAACAAGAAAAAACGATTACATCTTCATTGAATAGATCACTACATATAAACAGAAAAAGCTTTAATAATCAGCTGTACGAGGTGACATCTATTTCGGTTTGTTTGGGAACCTTATTGTCTCAGAGTGGAGTTTATTGGAATAAATTTGTATGATTTACCCTGGAATTGTTCTTCTTCTCACTACGGATGTCTTATCGGTCTTTTAAAAAATGTTAAAAATGTGCACTGCTAGGGGCACAAGTTAAATCAATTCAAGCTGGCTATTTTCATAGACATTGTCATATCGTAAACAAAGCCTATCTTACTCTAAATCTTCATGTGTTTTTGTTGATTCATCATTCCACTGTTTATTTGTAAAGCTTGTACCAAAACCTTTAATCTCGCTACTTCACGTGAATAAATCAATAAAGATTATTATAGACATTTAAATAAAGATAATTAGTAATATATTGAATTAAACTCTTGGAAATTTCAGTCGAAGTAAGTTGAATTGTGTAACTTTTATAGCATTAAAGGTTATCATGATCTCGTGCTTCAGCTATTTTTGAGTGCTGAAACAATTTACTAGCAAATTCAAGAATCTGTGTAAAACGCTAGGAAATGTGAACTTTCATGTAACTCTGGAGACATTTTTCTTTTAGCATGTTCCGGTTTTTATGCTTTCCTTTGAGTACGTCACTTGAAATAGATGTTTTCTATTCAAAATATTCGTGTAGTCATTACATCTTCGTTAAGGAAAACTGTTTTTACTTTACAGAGAATATTACGGATATTTCTTTGTTCAGGTTTTTGAGTACTGGGCTCTAACCGATACTGTTCACATTTTCATTTCTAAAAAATACAACGTCATCGATTTTCGTGGGTTAGTTGCCTACCTCTGGTGCAAAGGCACTTAATCTGCTAAAATTTCGCCAAGGGCGCTTAAAAATTTGCTCGAAATGAAAGTGAAGTGGTTATATACTTTTCTCATTTCCTGTTATCATATGATTCCATACCGTTTAGGGTCATCACTTGAAACCAGGAGACATTTTCATCTTTTAACCTCATTCTCTTACCGTTTGTTTCCCTATAAACGGAGATTTCAGGATTTTACCAAAGCACCGCTGGTGCCTATGAGTGTACTATGCACATATGCTCTGGTGGTTTACAGAAAAATCTCTTAGCTAATTCACTACTTTATATGCTACTTAACTTCTTACAATAATCAGGGACTTAGCAGAGAATGCGTTGTACAGTGCACTTTTTAGGTGAAGTACCTCATCTCTGATCGATATCTTTGTTCCACATCAACGCACCAATTATGAAATTGATTTATATTATTTCTTTGTGCACTTTTAGTCTCTCTCAATCATGCCTGCTGCATTTCGGGGTGGCTCAACATCAATTTCATTATCTGTGTCGCATATCGATTATTCTGAAGCACTTAATATTTTAGACTTAACAACATCAAAACAAAAACGATTACGTCGTCAACGTCAAAATGTTTTGCGTACACATTTATTATTGAAACGGACATATACACTTGTATGTGATATACTAGATTCAGACTGTTATTCTGAAGTAAATAATTTTAGTGCAAAAACTGTCTCTACATATTCTTCTGATTCTATTTTATCCAGTTCTTCTATTCCTGCTCTACGATTTTCAACACTACACGATAATACACCTAGATCAAAACGTAAATGTGAAGTCGATGACTCGTTGGTAACACCACAGGAACAACAATGTAATAAAATTTTAAGGTTGTCTGATAATTGTAGTAGTGAAAATAATGACAATGAGCAAATGGACATACAAACAACAATAGTGGATTTTTTAACCGATCTTAAAAATGTAAAAATTATACCAAGGTATTGAGTTGTGATGTCTTTTTAGGTGTTCTTTCTTATTTGGCTATACATTCATCACACATATTTAGAATAACGTCAGCCAGGGCATAAACAATATTATGGATGAAATTACTGTTTTTGGACAAACATGAAAATCGTAAGTTATGTCAATCAAAAACAATCTTTTTGTTACCCGGTACTATTTTTCTTTCTTTCTTCAATGTGTGACTGTACAGTGAACGCGTTTTGTTATTTTTTTGTTTTTACTTATTAGAACATGTTATTATTTCGTAGACAATGAAATAAAAGTTTATCTCTATATGTATGACTCTTGTGCTCAACATATGATTATCAATTTTAGTTCTACAACTCAATACATGGTTTGCCGCAGTGTAACTTACTTAAACGAGAAAAAAAGTATGCATAAAATTAGAACTATGTAAGCAAAATAACTACTTGAAGACAATAGTTTTATGACTATTGCCTGAATTTGTTGCTTTTTCTACCTATACCTTGTTGTAGTGCAGACATACACAGCAATCTCTACATACAATTTTGTTTTTATTATATTGGAATCTCCTTCATGGATATAAACTTTGTGTTTATAGACGTAAGTTAAAATAAACAAAGAATAATAATGTTTCTCTACGAATTGAAGAATGTTGTTATGTTTAATTCTACTTTCCTTCTATTAGTTGAGCGTTTTGTTCGTAGGACGTTTAGTAGTATATAGTTTTTAGTTTTGTCTTCGGTTGCTATAACATTTTCGTCTATGTTCTCAGGATTAAATAATTTTCAGTTCACTGCTTCTTTCCCAGACTACATTTAGCTACGGATTATTTACTCTCTGATAATGAGTAAAAGACGATAAGTATAAGTGATTACTGGATGACGAAATATCTCAATTAAATGAAAACACTTATTTGTATAGTGCGTAAGATCGCCTGGTAAATTTTACAAACATTGAACTTTTTCACCGCAATCATGAAACTTTTACTGAACTCGTTTTGAACAATTTGCCTTTTGAATACGTATTCTTGTATTTTATTCTACCACCTATGCAAACGGAATTTTGTGCTTGTTCCACTGATGCTCTTTTCTTTATCTCTTCACACTTTATGGTATCTAGAATAAAACTTTCTTACGTTAAGGTATTCGAACTTCCGGATCGTGAATATGAATGATTTGTTTTCGGGACTGTCCATCGCAGTATCGCTGTACATAGAGTGTCAATGAACTTTGTATATGAACATGTAGTAATCCGTTATTCTAGGCTTGCATGATGATACCTTGCAGCATTTTCTGACTATTTTGTTATTTGTTAAGCCGTTAAGATTTACAAAATAAAATACATTCGTTTAAGGTCGACATCACAAAGTCAAATCAATAAAAAACTTTCGTACGTCTTTTCGTACAATGAGTAATGATTATATCGTGTTTGTGAAATTTTTTTTTGTATTATGTTTTTGTTGCAGTTATATTTATTCTAAGGATAGATGTGTGCTATGATACTCGAGTCATTCTGAGTCTCTTCTAATTCAGATATGTTATTGTACATTATGTAATTAGAAAAGATTCTAAAAAAAGAAAAAAGATCGGCACCATTTTTTTTCTCATTCTAGTTGGTCGTTATAAAATGTCACTAACAGCAACATTAACTAATTGAGTTAATACATCACGGTGATTATCCATAGTCTCTCTCTTTCACATTGTCGTTGGTTTTTCATTATCAAGAATAATACAGAAAAATATTACCTTGAGTCTATATAAATGTGTTTGAAACACCGTACATATACATATTTAGTTTGTTGTTGGCAGCATCAGCGTAAACGCACCATTGTATCCGGTTATAATGTATATAAAGAAACGGTAGGATATACAAAATCAAGGTAAAGATTTTTTGTTTTATACATCAGTAAGTGAGTAACAATAATAAGATGTATCGTTTGTGTGCGTTTACTATAACATCTTATATTTAGAGACGATATATTTTTGTATAATCTAATTTAAATTTTAAAACACGATGAGAAAAGTTGATGTGCATTTTGAACGTTTGATCTTTTTTATAATAACTGAAATATGTAACGAATTTGTGTTTGCGTAAGTCTTTGATATTATTACGGTAAAATATACTTCATCATTAGCTTAGTTACTCGAAGTGGAATATTTTCTTTTGGTTAATTCTAGTTTTTTTGACTTGATTGTCTCACTATTATTTCATGATGGTCCTAACAACACTTGGGCTTAATTGCCTCGTTTTTAATGTTTAGTATTTATTACACAACGCTTTCTGTTCTCTTCATACACTATGGGGTAAGTAATATTAACTTTATTATTTGTCGGGCTCTACTTTGAATTCTAGCCAAACTTCTAAACTATCAACATGTCGCATTCTAGAAAACAACGTTGTACACATGTAATACTTATCTGACAGGTTCTGTTGAGCTTTGGAAATCTAACAATATCATCAGCATATGATATCGGTTAGTTTTTATTATTCAGCGCAGACGAAATAATTTATTTTCGTGTTCAATACACTCGTAGTTATAGATAAATTAGCTGATCATAATTTATATTTCAACATGTATTTATTAGATAAACCAGCTTTGATGTTTTAAAATTATTTGGTACTATTGGTACTGGTATTTTGATACTTTTTTCTTTCTGCTTATAGCTTTTCGTGCAGAGGTAGATTTGAATGCTAATTGAATGACCAAGAACATAGATGTTTCTGTCCTGATTTTTAACTTTTAATAATGATAGAAGTTGGTCCATTCTGCACCAGATGTTGAATAACTCCTTTCTACTGTAAATTAATCATTCAATTTGACTAACCAACGGTTCAATATTATTTTTCATTTTTCTCGATAAACAGCAATCTTATCAATATATTCAATTCACGCTGCTTATTTATACAATAATATCTTCAAAAATAACGATTCATCAGTTTGTAACAGTAGCTCATTCATCGTTTCATTTTAAGCTAGTAAACATTTAGGTTTATACCAAACAATGTCTTTTATGAAACGTGCTGTGCTTCTTTTACTGTTCTGAGAAAAATCAGATTTGCTTCGAAATATTTTCACTATACCTCCATAAGAATGTACCTATTTTATTTGAAAAAAATGTGAAAATTAATTTATATCTACAACAAACTGGTTTTGAATGATCAACACAAGAAAATAGGTGAATTTATTATGTGACATAATGACGTAGTGAATCGATGCAATGTTCTTTAATCGTATTATGATTGCGCAGTAAATGACCATCGTTAACATGAATTTGAGATGAGGAAAGAGATTATTCTATGGCTAAAATAGTATTGTGTTTTAATTCATCATTAATGTTAGCAATGTGCTCGCTTTTGATTAATTATCAGTTTTTATCATATAACATGAAAGAGAAGGCGACATCATTCAAACAATTATCTAACAGGTACATATTTGCATAGCTGAGTAAGTCAGGACTTTTCAAGTCCCTAAGTCAAGTCAACGAAAAGATTCTCACCAACTAGCATCGGAAAATGTGAGAAAGCTAAAAGCCTAAAAATCTAGGACGCTGTGAACTATGTAACAACTGGAATATGTGAGAAATCTAAAAGCTGAAAATCTGTGACACATACGATAGTGGGACAATGTGAGAAGCCTGGAAACCTATGAAACGGGTATTCGGGAATCTTTGAGAACTGTCACGTCTAAATAGTGAACTGAGTCTCCAGTCTCGTAAGTTAGTCTTATGTGCGGACCTGTAAAATCAAGTTTTTTGAGTATGTCAATGAAGTGAAAAAGGGGTCGTTTCGTAGTCAAGTGAATGTCGTCGCGAAATTTCACATAAATTTCTTTTTCGTCTAATTCTGATGCTAATGCTATGATAAGAGCATGATACTGGTATGATAGATTCAAAAAGCTGCAACTTGTGTATCTCATAATTTTATTAACTATCTTAGATTTTTATTAAAAATTATTATAATTTTTTATTAACGAACTCATAATTTTCAGAAACCTTTTAACATTAACATCAGGCTACAAACCTAAATATATGGTAGTAATAGCAGCGCAATCTGCCAACTTTCGTTTTTCACCATATTTTTACAAAAACGAAAAAATACGATTTTGAGCATAAAGATGTATTTTGCCTTTAATTTTTTCCTGAAGTATCATTTAAAAAAAATAAGAGCGCTTCACAAAGGAAGTTTTCAAGGCGCATCTTTTCACTATATTAAAAATTAGCTTTGAACTGAATTGAATTTCAGCTCTCCAGGAACTTTCTAACTCGACTTAACGAGATAACAATTTGACTTCCACTAGAAAAAAAGAGCTTTTACGAAGGTTTCTATAACTTGGGAAGGAACTAAAGGCCGTTGAAAAAGTTTTGTCTACGATACCAAATATAGTGCCTTTACTTCGTGTGAAAATTTCAGCTCGAAGTTGAATTGTCAATTGACCAGTATCTATCGTCTCATTCGTGCAATGGCTCCTAAATTTGGATCCAGCAGCCATTTTAACTCAAATAAACCAAACCTGTGCAACGATTAAAGCAATCGTCAAACATGTCCGAGCACATGAAAAGCAATATCGGAGACTTTTTAATCGTATCACTGTAACTGCTGAACGTCTCAAGACAATTGAAGCAGCAAAATTGGCAGTCAAAGCGACACAGAAGGCTGTAAACTCACTGCTGTCCTGTGTCAAGGATTGTCAGAAAGTGATGACAACGTTGGCAGGCGGCAACTGGTCAAAAAAGATATTCAAAAGCAACGTCGACACAAAAGAGTTTGTGGAATTGAATTATCGGTTGTCACAATGTGCGGAAACAAGAATACTAACAAATATGCTATTGAAATTTTTTTGAGAGAACAACTTGTCGAATTGATCCCCTGATTAAATTTATTTAAATCAAAAAGAAGCATTTGATCTTCAGCGTAAAAAAAAATTTTTTTTACCATCTTTTATTTATAGTTACTATTCTACGTGTTCCAGCTGAATTGTCTTGCGATGAAGCTTGTCTATAGTTTTCATTGCCTCTTATCGATCAAGTAGTATAGCTTAATTTGGGTTAATTAAGTTGAGCATCATCTTTAACAAGTATAAATGAAAGCGTATTTCTTTGGGCAATATTCGACGGTTTTTGTGTTTCATCAACTGCCGGAGTTTCACTTACTGGTCGTATATCGCCCGGTACAGGATGTATAGCATCGTAATATACCTTCATTCTCGCTGTGATAAAGACGGCATTCCTACGCAGATGCATATGAACATCAGCATCTAATATTTTAATCGGATCATCTAGTTCAACCTTTCTATCACTATATTGTAAATAGTGAAAACGAACATTCAACTCTCTCCGTAAGAAACAAATATGAGCAAGTAGACGTTTAGCTTCATCACTGCTCATTGTATCAAGACCATCAGTAAAACAAAATAAGTCGTAAGTTGTAACGGTTGTTTATCGAGAAAAACGAGTATTTTTTGGTAAACATCATAAATCGCTGTACCTTTTGAACGTTTACTGGATTTTATGTTGTCAACAGCATCAGTATATGATGCAATATTTAAAGATGAACTACATAACTGACATATACAACATAATTGAGTATGCTTAATGTAACTGGATCTTAAAACTACGTGAAAGGTTTTTTATAATGGAACTATAGCTTACCTGTCCTTCTGGTAAGAGTGGTACAATATGATTTGGCTCCCAAGCCGGTATGATACATTCGGTTGATGTTCTATTTTTACTTAATCTAAAATGTCTTTCAGTAAGTGAACTCAATTGTTCTGAATGTGACCACATGAGTACAATATCACTGTCCGTCCGCTCCGCCATATGGCACAAACGTTTGATTTGATAACATTTTTGCTTGCTGGTCAACTAGTCCATTCACACTTGGATAGATTGATTTTATATTAATTTTCAGTACTGATGGCATACTCATAAAATCATAGATCTTTGAAAACCGTTGATTTTGGAGCATATCATTCAGTACATATTCTTCCAATGATTGGTCTACGACTGGAACAAAAGCCTTATAATTATACTTGTAAACATTTGCTTTCAATACCAATTCGATAACATTCCGTATACGCAGTTCGAGCACGAAATCACCGTTCAGATCACCGAGACATGCAATGCTATTGTAGAATGAATCACCATCGTTTACTACTTTAACAGGTACCACATCTCGAAATATTTCGAGACAATACGTTTGTAAGAAAGATTCAGCTGATTCATCTTTTTTATGTTGTATTTCATCCAAAAAGTGAATGGGTGTATAAGTGAACTCGTATTTAATTACGAAAGGAAACATTTTTTCACATTTTTCTCGTAATTTAAGGAAACCCAATTCTTTGGATTCACGTAAATTTGTCCAATTTTTTTGAAACACTTCGTGACGATTCAATGAAGCACATTCAACACATGTAGATGCTTGGTCGTTGTCATTGCATACCTCCGTCTCATGGCAAAATTGACACAGACCTGTCATTGTAAAAAATGAAATTGGGAGGTCTTGTTCTTGTTGTTTAAGTATGAGAAATTGTTTTTGGTGTGGAAGAACATTGGCATTTTCAAACTAAATGGATAAGCAACAGAGGTAAATATCCTTATGAATGACGGAGCTATCACACACGCTGGAAAAACATCGATTCGCTTATCCAGGTAGCTTTAAGGAATTCTCTTATTTTTTCGTGGAGAAAGTATGTTTAAACAAAGAGTAACTAATAATATTGAATATTGATGTAAGTCCCGAAAATTGTTGACATATTTACTTACAACTCTTCACAGGGAACAATATTTAGCAGGAGAGTCTATTTATCTAACAAACTGTAAACCGTCAACAGAAAACAAAGAAAAAAGAAAAATAACGTCAAATGTAAGGATTGAATCTATGTCTGACACATTAGTAGTCTGTTACTCTAACCACACTGTATAAAAAAAGGGTATCCTACAAAGCTAAAAACAGGGTATCTGCATTTGTTACTGATAAGAACCAATTTCCGTATCTTGGAACATTTTCTTTTGGTTTTCTAGGTTAGGTTTGTGAGTATTTCTTGCTCATACGTGAAGGACATTCCGAAAAGTCTTCTGTGGTTTGTTCTCATTGCTCCGCGGGTGACATAGGACAGAAGGTAGTGTATCTCTCCAAAATCGGAGTATAAATTTAAAGAAAACTTCCTCGAAAATGGGGTATTTCTCTTTTTTAAAGTTTCTTATATGTGTTCTGCGTCTCAATGGAGTGAGCGAGAGCAGAAGCAGCAGGACCAGATCTTGGAGATTAAATCACTCAAGTCCTAAAGACAAAATAAGGTTACCATTTTTAGCAAATAAAATCTTTTCCACAGACAAAACAAAAGATAGATAACAAATAATTCTGTACTTGCACTTCCTGTGCGGGGAAGAAAATCCCCCAGGAGAAAAATCTTGAATGCAGATTTTGATAAATCTTTAAAGATTTATCAAGTTTCGCCCCAGATCTTTCAAGAACTTGTGCAGATTTATCGAAATCTGTCAAGATTCTGAATGGAAGGCAATGCTGCAGATTTCCCACAAGTTTTGTATCAGAATCTGTCGTGATAAATCTTGAGCAGATCTTGTCAAGGTATTTCTAGAATTCTGAAATGATTAATGTAATACGCAATAATCACGATCTTCATTAACTGATTTGGGAATTTGAAAGAAAATCTTAAATTTTATTTTCAACTTTATATTTTCATTTTTTTCTACTGTATCACTACAGTGCAAGCTCTACGGTACTATGCATACAGCACCAGAGCTGTTGAAAGTGCATGAGCAACCGTACATTCAAACACAATGTTTGAATGTCACTTTCCTTTCAAAATTTTCGTAGTGCAAGTACACTGTAAAAAATAATTGCGAGATAAAGTGAAAAAAAACGCAAAAAAGTGGGACATAGTACGAAATAAAAGAAAATTTTTTTCCGCTATGATCCACTTTTTTGCGAATTTTGCTGCAATATTGTGGAAAATAGTGAATATGTGCTGGAAAAATGTACCACAATATCCCGCATCGTGATGTTTATTCTAGGATAATCTGCATTATTGTAAGCGATTGTAGTCATTGATTCGAAACAATAATTGAGGATGCTTACAATATTTCGCAATATTGTGAGAGAAAGAGTTCCACAATATTCCGTGTTATTGTGGATTATTGCGCAACGTATAGTTGACTGCAATTTTCTCTTCCTTAACCCTTTGAAATCGGATTTCATAGAATGAGGACTGCATAGGTACATAAACAACACGGCGTAAACTTCATTCATTCGCTAAATGCGGATCGATTCGCGCTATTTTCAAAAACTCTAATGGAATAAGGTAAATACGATTAATCAATGGATCTCACAGTCGGAAAGTTATCTTTCTCTAAACAGGACTGATAACACTTAGAGCGCTGTTAGAAAGGTAGATGAAACAAAGTCAGTATAAACAATAGTTTTATTCATATGTGTTACAAATTTATAAGTAAAACCACATCACGGTGAAACAAAAGTATTAAATCTAAAATGAGACTAAAAGAAAAAAATAACGTAATATTCATTTATAGCACGTACAAAACAGAAAAATACGGGTGAGCTATTTCTTTTAAAAATTTTTCGTTCCAAAGTATAGTCGAAAATAATGAGTAATACTGAATGGGCATTTGGACCGTGTGGACAATACGCAATTTGTGCTGTCGAATGGCCAACTAAATTATATAGTATTAGTACTTTTCAAGGTATAACGCACATTAAAGTTCTGCA